CAGCACTAAGGACCCTCTGGGGATGTCCGCCTGCTGAGGGCACAGGCTGGGCTGAGGGACCTCCTCCTCCAGTGCACAAATGTTGTGCACCAGGCCTCTAATACTATATATATATATATATATGGCAGGAGATGCTCTCCCTGTTGCCCACGTGGCCTATGGCCACTGGGCCTCCACACACAGGCTCATAGACTTCCATTAGCTGGGATGCTGAGCTACTCCCGACTGTCACATGGAAAGGAAGCCTGGACGCTGGCTGCTCCTGGAACCCCAGCAGCACCTGTTCCAGGACTGGCTATTCCCAACAAAATTCAATTCCACTAACCGTCTTTGCCTGTGACTTCATTCTTCAATTTCACGAGACAACGAACTCAGATTCAAAACGCCCACATTTTGGTTTCAATTCTGGTAACTATAAACAAATTTTGTCCCCTTCTCATAGCCAGTTAAGACTCTTGGTATCTTATTTTAATTTTTCTGTGGAACAGTTGGGTCCAATCACATTGAGCACATTTGTGACTTTAACATTATTAGTCATGAATGAGGATATAGTAGTTGTGACATAACAGGCTGCAGCCTTTAACCCCTCACTTCAGCTGTGGGTGGAGGGTGGCTTCGAAGAGGTTCTGATTTTCTTGTGACCAGTGAAAGCTGAGCAGTGCCTGGAATTCCTCAAACTGCTTTGGGTAATAAATTCTGCTTGGTAATGCTTGAAAAATAAAAAATGAACAAGAAAATGGCAATACATGCATATCTACCAACAATTGAATCTAAAAATCAAAATAAATGAATGAGTAATCTACTAAACAAAATAAACTGATGAGTAAAAGAACCAGAGGCATGGAAACATGGAATAGACTGACAAATCTCAGAGGGAAGGGGGGAGGAGGACCGGGAAGAGATTAACCAAAGAATGTATATGCATCTATGCATTACCTGTGGATCTAGACAATTAGGTGGTAAAGGCCTGGGGCGGGAGGAAAACTGGTGTAAGGGAGTAATGGGGGTGGGGGAATAGGGAGACATCTCTTGCCGGGGCTGACAAGCAGATCCTGAGCGACAGATGAATGGATTATTTTGACACGTTTCTGTGAAAGAGAGGCTGAGGGACTGCTTGGCTATAGGAGCCAACAGCCCTGTTTGCTTAGGAGTTTATTGTAACAATAGCTTTAACTAAAATTAACTACTAGGTACTATTAGCAGGGTAAGTATTCTTGAGAAGACACATGAGTTTGTAGTGTCCTTTAAGCAAGAACGTGTCTAAGTAAACATCCAGGGGCTCAGACTTGTTTGGAAAAGACAAGGCAGGGGCTGCCAACTTCAGCCAACTTCTGTCCTATGCCTCCCCACAATCTCTAATACTCTCAACAATAAAGGTTTTTTAAAAAGTCGATCTTTACCTTAACTGAGCCTGTCTATTGTCTTTTGCATCTACAATAACATTCCTTTGGAATGTCAGGGTAACTCCCCTTTCTCCAGACCCCTCAGGGCACAACTAATGCACCAGGTTGGATACCACAAATCCTCATTGTTATCATTATTATCGTGTTAATTGTTGACTGTGAACTATCCAGTACCCGCTTAGGTAAAAATGCATTTGTCTATCATTTTACTTTTCCTCTAATCACAGAGGTTCCCCTCCCTCCCTCTGCTTTCTCCCTCCTCCCTATTCTATCACCAATGGATTTTATGCAACCCATTTGCAACATCTCTTTTGATTGTAATGTATAAAATAAGGTACAAAACTCCCATTCTCTGGAGCATTTTCTCAATCCGTTGAGATTTTACTTCCCAGCAATTGCCAACAGTTCAGCTCAAATAAACTCACAAAATTATTTACAGGCTTGAATATTCTTTATGTTGACAAGGAGTAGAAGCGGAAGAAACTGTTATTACCAGGTAAGCATTAAATCAGAGTGTGATGCACAGTTTAGGCAACTCACTGAAAGGATTGGGGAGACTGAAAGGAATCCACACTTTGCTTCCCGGGGCACACAACCATCATCTTAGGTAAGCTTTCCCATTTGGTTGGTGAGAGTTCTTTTGTTAACACTTATCTGAGGATATTTTTCCATTGATTTTTAGAGAGAGTGGAGGGAGGGGGGAGAGACAGAGAGAGAGAAACATTGATGTGAGAGAGATGCATCAATTGGTTGCCTCCCTCAAGCACCCTGACCAGGGCCAGGGATAGAGCTTGCAACAGAGGTAGTGCCTTTGACTGGAATAGATCCTGGTGTGGAATTGGTGCGAAAGAAGCCACAGGAGAGAGACCTTTAATCCAAGCAGCGTTTCTGGCTCAGGGGATTCAAAGATCCAAAGCCTGAACAAATGATACAGTGAGATTGCCCCATATATATATTCCGAGGTTCCTTTGTTTTCTGTTTCCTAACTGCCAGGCTTTTGTGGTGGGCTTCCACGCCCCTCCTGAGTCAGTCAGCATGGGGAAGGTAAGTTGTGTATCTAAATGCCTGGTCTGGGTGGCCCCGGTGAAGTCCCCTCTAGCTAAGCTGTTACATTCTTGGTTTATGGCCCTTTGTAAATTGGGAGTAATTAGGAAAACAGGTCTTGCTAGACCAGATTGTTAAGAAAGGGGTAGTGACTTAATTATAGGCTATCAAGAATGTACAATAGGATACTGATTACCAGAGTCAGGCTGCTAGGTCTCCTTCATTCTTTCACTGGGACCCTTCAATCTGAGGGCTGACTGACTCTGTCCACTGAGCCAAACCCGCCAGGGAAGCTTTGCCATTTGGAGTCAGGTGACAGGCTGGCTCCCCTCCCAGGCACAGGGTGGGCTTCTCAGAGACCCACTCCCAGCCGTCAGGAAACATTGCTTTAAGACCAGCAAGAGGCCATTAAAGACCTACATCCATTTAAAAAGGACAGGCAAAGACATTCTAACAGAAAGGGAGAGGAAGAAGTCTCTTATTTTCACTGGGATAATGAAGCCTCTTTTCAATTCACATTGGTTCCAACTGGGGAGCCGAGCCCTCTCCGTTTGCCTGCAGCTGACCTGTAATTCCTGCATTTGCTGGCATACAGACTCCCCAACCCGCACCCTCACCCCCACCCCCTTCCACCAAGATGAGGTCCTCACTGTCTGTCCTAGAAGGATTTGCTCGGTCATTGTCCTGAAGCTGGGCTCAGCAGGGCCTGGTGTGAGTTGGAACCGTGGCCTCGGCTCGGGCTCACACGGAACCGCGGCCCAGTGGCCTCAGACCGTGAGAGCTCTGGGAAAGGACTAGGGTGCTGGCTACCAGGCTCCAGACTCTCCGCAGCGCCCAGAGCACCCCCAGCGAGGCCACGGCGTGTTGCAGATGGGGGTGTGGTGGGGGTTCTGCGGTTCTGGAGGGCCTTGTCTCACAGGCTGCTCTGGAGCATTCTAAGCAAAAGGCTTGCATCATCCTTGCAGGAAGTCACGGTCAGCGGCAATGGTCACCTTTTACAAGGGCAAAAATGATCTTCTCTTGTTAACGTCTGAAATACTCAAACCTGTAAAGAATTCTTTGGTTTATTTGAGCCAAACTGTTGACAATTGCGGGAAGCAGAATCTCACGGGATTGGGATAATGCTCCGGAGAATGGTGGTTTTTCACCTGTTTTTATAGATTGCAATCAAAGGGGGAGATGTAGGTGGGTTACAGAAATCCGTTGGTGATAGCTTAGGGAGGCGGGAGAAAGCAAAGTGGGGAAACGTCCGGGATTGGATAAAAAGTAAAATGATAGACACATACCTCGTTTACCTAGGTGGGTGCAGGATAGTTAATAGCCAACAACTAACATGATAATTATGAAGAATTTGTGTCTGTGTCCAGGGCATTTGGTTGTGCCCTGAGGGGTCGGAAAAAAGGGAAGTTGCAAGTTACCTTGATGTTTCAACCATATGTTATCCTTGATGCAAAAAGACAATAGGCTCAGTTTAAAGTAAAATTGACATTGTCAGGGGAGATACCGGCCTAGGAGGCGACTACCCACCATAACTGCTTTTAGTTAAAGTTTAATTTCAGGCCATCCTTTGTGGTTACTTTAGGTCTCTGAGTTTGCAAGGCCGCCATGCCATGCAGACCTTCCCTGAGCTTGTCAGGTCAGCATGTGGCCCCTTTTGTCCACAAGCCAAACTGTGGACAATTGCCGGGAAGCAGAATCTCCAGGTAATGAGATAATGCTCCAGGAAATGGCAGTTTTATACCTTGTTTTATACATTACAATCAAAGGAGGAGATGTAGGTGGGTTACGTGAAATCCACTGGTGATAGATTAGGGAGGCGGGAGAAAGCAAAGCAGGGAAACATCTGGGATTGGATAGGAAGTACAATGATAGACACATCCTTATTTTACTTAGGTGGGCACAGGATAGTCAACAGTCAACAATTAACGCAGTAACAATGAGGGGACTTGTGGTCTCCACAGAGTGGGGCCTGGGCTATGAGGGGTCTGGGAAAAGGAAAAGTACTTTGACATTCCAAAGATACGTTGCTGGAGATGCAAAAAGACAACAGGCTCAGTTAAGGTAGAGATCTGTGAGACCCCTGAAAAGGGACCCTCACTCTGTCCTGCAGACTGGCGGCGACCCCAATCAACCGCAGGAGACGTTACTTGATGCAAACCGCAAGAGGTTTTTATTCCAGCGCGCTGGGGCTCAACTCGAAACTCACGCAGGAGCGGAGTTGGGCCCCGGGCAACAGGTTTTTCAGATATTTATAGGCAAAAATCACACATCAGGGAGGGGCTGCATGCAGGAGGGTAAGAGGGAAATAAAGAGATTCCAAGGACCCTGTTGTGTATCTCAGTAGGGCATTTTACGACCCTTTATCTTAAGAGTAGATTGGCGCTCTGTTTACTCAGCCTGCCGCTTGTGACCGGGGGCTATCTCCGAGGGCAGCCTCAAGGCCTGCACTCCCTTTGTTCCCCATCCCTGGCGTCTCTAGCGGGGTGGGGGGAAGCCTGGGGAGGGGGAGCCTGGGGAGTTGAGATAAAACAGGCAGCTAGTAGCATTTTTTCCTTTCAATCAACCTTTGTCAGGGAAGATTCCAGACTAAGTATGACCACCCACCATGAACTGCTTTTTAATTTAAACGTTTTCATTTCAGACCATCCTTTCTGGTTCCTTTAGGTCTCTGAGTTTGCAAGGCCACCACTCAAGCCTTCCCTGAGCTCATCAGGTTGGCATGTGGCCTCTTTCGTCCACACTCTCATCTAATGGAAGGCGTGATAGGAAAGAAACTCCAAATGCCACCAGTGGACAGGGCTGTGCTTAAGAAGAATCCTCCCCACAGCTGAGTGGCACCACTTCTCTCATCTTGGACCCTTTTCCTGCGCTCATATCCACATTCCGAGCACAAGGTCTGCTTCTGAGAGCTGCAGGGAAATTTGGAGCAGCTACACAGTAGTGGGAGACTTACAGGAAGTGATACCGTTGTAATAAGCTAATTCTCATCTCTGCGTCTGGGTAATCAATGACCAGAAATCACGTCAAGTACACATGGGTGCTCACCCATTTTATCCTTAAGGTCATGTTTCTTGTCAGTGAATGTTTATTCCACTTTTACACTAAGTTTCAAATAAATACTGGTATATTTCTGGCACAAATTCATTTTGTTGCCACTATCACTAGCCCTAGCTAATTTTTATGCTATTTGGATATTTTATTGTGTCAATGTAAGCAATGTTTAACCTGCAGAGAATTTTCCGTATGAGTTTATTTGAGCTAAATGGATGATAATTGCTGGGAAGCAGAATCTGAATGGATTGAGAAAATGCTCCGGAGAATGGCAGTTTGCACCTTATTTTATACATTACAACCAACGGAGGATGGGTAAGTGGGTTACATGAACTCCACGGATGATAGATTAGGGAGGCGGGAGAAAGCTGAGCAGGGAAACCTCTGGGATTGGATAGAAAGTAAAACAAACAGACACATGCTTTTTTTACTTAGGTGGGTATAGGGTAGTTTGCAGTTAACAATTAACACGATCACAATAACAGTGAGGGGTTTTGTGGTCTCTTCTCTGTATAGTGATGGGAGTGGAAAAAGGAAATTACCCTGACATTCCAAAGGTATGCTAGTGTAGATGCTAAAGGACAATAGACAGGCCCAGTTAAGGTAAAAGATCCCAGCCTAGGACATGACTGCCCACCAGGACTCGCTTTTAGGTAGACGGCTTTAAGTTCAGACTGTTCGGCCACTCTCACGAGTTGCCGAACGGCTGCCAAACCGAAAGCGAAAGCGCGCACTCAAATTCAGACTGCTTGACAACCACAGGACAAAGACAAACAACTCGGGGTACCCTTCTTACCTCCAAGGTCGGCTCCGCGGATGAGGGGGTGGTTGTAAATCCCGGACGAGCCCCCAAA